AACTTGGCAGAGGCTCGTATCCTGTTGAGAGAGAGTGTGTTTACTTGCTTCGACACAGTCACCTGGAGAAATTACAGATTCAACTGCCCCGAACTGCAGTTTATTCCTGCTTCCTCCTCCTTTATTCCTTCCCCCCGGTTTAAACTTGAGCACTCACACTGGAAGAAGAAGTGCTGGATTTATTGCACCGCTGTGACCGATTCTCACCTGCACCAGAAGAGATTCTCGCCTTCTTGTGGCAGCAAAAGGAGTCGTCTCTGTACATTTATAATACATGGCCGGGCCATCAATAATTCAACATCAGGTGGGTATCCCGGTGTTGCCTGGTGGGCGTTGATCAAGACATTCAGGGACAAGGCTGTTGGGGATTTGATGCCTGCTGATAGCACGGTCCGCCAGTGCCGCTGACAGCAGCCTGATGATGTGTCGCCTCCCTCCGCGGTCTCCCCGCTGATCACGGGCTGCTTTCTGTAACAGCTGAATTCACTTCCAGCTGTCTGTTGGCACATCAGCCTCAGCATCCCCTGGACAGCATCCACATCAGACGATCCTCATTTCACACTTTTTTATCTCCTTTGATCCGCTTTTTTTGTTCTTTTTTCTTTCCTGCAAGATAAAAACTGAACCATTTGGAGCAGGTTTTGAATGTCCAACGTTTTTTGGGCTGACCATGATCGGTGTTAACAGCCTGCACTCCGCAGGACGCCTACGCTCGCGCTCTCTTTGCACTGTGCGCTACGGGAGGGACTTCCGGATGATGGACCCGTTTCGCTATCCCAGAACCCCTCGCTCTCGCTCGCTCAAACCCCTGGTGTTCCCGGACCTGCTGGGCAAAGCTCAGGACGGACAGAATCACCCACAGGCCAGAAAGAGGAGAAAGGTACTGAAAAAACTACTTCCTGTTACTTTTACACATCGCAGAGTCATCGCGACATTTATCTGTCAGTTGATCAGCAGCTCCTAAACTCCAGAGATGAATCATTGTTTTTTACAACTTTATTTCATACCAGTGTGACACATGTCCCAGTAAATGATATCTTATCCCACATAACAACAATAACAACTCATTGTCATTCAAAGATCTCTCAGATAGTCTGGAGGGGGTTTTCATTGTGGATGTTTTATTCCCCCCATCTGTTTACCTTCCACACACAATCATTGCTTTATTACAGATTCTATTGTATCATAGTTTGATTATACGAAGGAGATTGGTCGGCTGCCAAACCCTGATTGGCCGCACAGCACAGCTCAGTACAGCATGTTGTGTAAAGCCGCCACTCACAGCTAATGGCTCTCATCTGCTGGCACTTGGTGACGTTGATGAAGCAAGTAGGTGAAGGTGACGAACATCCATCCTTGTCTCATTGAGCCCCCAGACTGAATGAGCTGAGACTGATTTATACTCCACCTCCGTCTACCTTTTCTTTTTTATATTATTTATTTACCTCCCTCTTTATCTCTAAATCCACAGAGTCCCTCTGCTGTTGATACTGTGTGTTCCCTTAGGATTTACAGTACGGGAAGATTTTCCTTTCTGTACAAATGAAAAATACTCTTCAGGAATAACACAGTTTCACACTGAATCTGTTCTAGAAATATATGAGTACATTAATCACAAGAAAAACTCTCATGTAAGAAGATTGCACCATTAAAACCGTCGTTTTAATCCACTACAGCAACTATTTATACAGATTAATAGTTAAAAGTTTCACACATTTTTTATTGAGCCTCAGAAATTTATTTTTTCATTTTCAACTATATCAAATAATTATAACATATATTCGTTAGATATAAGATAGATGAAATAAAAGATACAGGATTGAGAATGAAACGGTATCAAGCAGTAAAGACAAAGAAAATAATTAGTTTGAATATAAAGTAAAAGGATCAAATAAATGAGTGAGAAGTAAATTAAATCTAAATTTAAGAACAGGAGTATAACTCAGATAAGACAGTGTAGGATACATTTTTCAAGCACAATGCTAAATATTCACCAGTTCCAGCTTCTAATTTTCTTGCTTTATATGGATTTACTGTTTTTCTTTGTCTTAAGTGACAGTAAACTTAACATTTTCAGGGTTTGGGACAAAATGAGCAATCTAATAACATCAGCTTTGAGCATTTTTCACTCATTTTTAACAATTTATGAACCAAACGGTAAATCGAGAACATTTTCTGCTTTATCATTATTATTATGCACTATTACTGACTGTGTGTATGTTATTGAGATTTGCATGTCCTTTATTGTCACTTTGGTTGCAGGGTGAATGTATTATTTATTTATTTACCAGGGACAATGCACATTAATCAACATTGCGGTTTACACTTGAATGTAAATGTGCTAATAAGCTCATTTGCATCTGTGGTCCCTGGGCAGCTTAGAACAAAGTGTGCCAAATGTCACAGTGCTTCAACAAGTACTCTAAAACAATAAAAACAGAATTTAATACATAAATACATTACAGAATTGACAGAGACATATACAAGCAATGAGATTATGTAAAGGCAGTGGCAGAAATGGGGTAAAAATGCCTTCCGGGCAAAGCTGTAAGTTTTGTTTTATTGCCAGGTCTCCTTCACATAATGAACTTCTGCAAACAGAATATGTTGTCAGTAAACTTTTATAGCTCACAGATTCACTGTTAATATTTGATGTTGACCAGATTTACGCGACAGAAGCAGAAGTCTTAGAAATCGGTCGACTCCCGGGGAAGCTCAGCTGTTTTCCTGCCTGTGATTATTAAAATGTATGAGCACATTAGGTTTGAGACTTAGTTGGAATGCTAAGATTTTTACAGTGGAGCGTATGGAAACCAGAACTAAATCTGTAACGGTCCAGGCTGGATGGTCATTAATATTCATGGACTCTCTGTGGAAGTATTTCTGATTAGGCGCAGTCTCAGAGAAAACTCTGGGAATGAACCTGATTAGACACACTGAATCAAACCCCATTATAAACGCCATTTCATTGGACTAAAAGTCACAATGCAACTAAATGATATTCATAATAGGTTGGGAGCCTAAAACAGAAGAATTCAAGTGAAGCAGCAGTTCTTTAATCAAAGGAATGTAATGGGAAATGATCGATTTTAGTATGAGCTTTCTGTCCCCGCAGTTAGAGTCCTGGCTGCAGATGAACTGCCTGTTAAGTGTCTTCTCCATCACCTCAGCCGTCACAGCTGTCCATCAGCAGCATCCTCTGCCTCAATATGTGTCTTTAACTCTGATGGCTTCATGCTGTCTCACCCCCCCTCCCCCTCACCCCCCAACTTGCTCCTCCGCCACAGCCCGGCTGTGAAACTCATCGGTGTATCACATGCAGCTGTTATCGGCCGGTGTCACCCGGGGGCCGCTTGAATGAGGAGCGTCTGGAGGTCTTTACCGTCGCTACAGATTCTGAAGAAGCCAAAATGTGCTGCGTCTGCGCTGACCGGCTCCCTTATTAAACTCCCTCCCTCCCTCCCCCCCTTGCTGGGAAGTTTTTCTGTTGATTATGATGATAATGGAAGTAAAAGAGGGCCTTTCCCAGGAGAGGAAACAATGACCCAAAAAATAATAAAAACTGGTACAAAGAAGTGAAAGGGAGTCCAATCGCAATCACAAGTTGGAATGAAGTTGAAGAAACCCAAATAAAGTTTATGGGCATTAAACATACACGCAGATACATCCACTGCTGCATGTTTTCTAAGATATACATCCCGACTGTGTGTTATAGGAGCAGCTAGGGTTGGTTGATGTACTGAATATGTCAACTGAAATGTCATTTATACTGCTGATACCATCCCTTTACTGTACTACAGTGTCTCCGGTTATATTAGACCTTAGTTGGCACTGCTGCAACTGCTTTTTTATGCTTTGATTCATCAGGTATTTGATGGAATTTGCTAAAAAATGTGATTCTTGTGTTCATTTTATCCATAAACAGCAGAGATGCTGAATATGCCAATACGATAGCTTTTTGTATCTTAAAAAGAAGTTCATAACCTGTAGTTTACACACACTTGATGATAAGAAAGGTTAAGGTGTAGCGAGCAAGGATGGAAGATTTAATACTCTATAACTCTGAGCTAACCAAATAAATAACCTACATCACTGTTGTTAACAACAACAAACAAACAAACAAACAGTTCTGACTCTTCAAATGACCCTAATAATCTATAATTCTTAAACTGCAGCTTTAATCGGCTACTTTTGTATTATCACTTAAATCTAATTTTACAATGTGGTATTGCTAATTTTAGTAAAACACATCATCCAACATTGCACCTAGGTGCAACTAATGACTGTTTCCATTGATCAATCTGTCAATTATTTTTAGATTAATTGAATTTATCCTTAAGTCAATACAATGAAATGTTGAAAAATGTCCGTCACAGTTTCCTGTAGCCCAGGGTGACGTCTTCGTCTGAGCAAAAGACCAAAAAAGCTATTCATTTTTTGGTCATTTTAAATAATACAAACCTGAGAAAAGCAGCAAATCAATCAATAAGATAATTGATTCGATGCTACAGCATTTAGACTGATACCTTAAACCAACTCAGTCTGTGTTTTAGCTTTTTGAGTTCATGTCTCAAAGCTGTAAATTAATTTTGCTCCAAGCGGGTCGATGCGTCAAAGTCTGAATTATTTATTGATCGATTGATTTGCCAGTCTGTCCATTGACAGGCCAGGTGCTCACTGGGTAATGACTCTGTAACCGATGTTGTGGTGGTTGACTGATTGGATGATTGATGGATTGTTTGGCAAAGAAAATGAGTTAAGCTTGGGCAAAGGGCAGTTTGGGGCAGCGCGAAACGAGATGACATTTCTCTGAGTACAATTTATTGAATGAAGCTTGCTTGTTTACTGTGCAGCTTCCACGGAAGAACACACAATATACCACCTTCACCCTGTAATGTTCGATCAAATCGACAATTGATGCAGCGAAAACACACAGCTGCTATTTGTCATATATGTCTGAAAGTGTGATTTTCTCTCTTCTTTGTGGTTTTCCTCTGCAGGCGCTCTACAACTCAATCAAAAATCAGAAGCTGCAATGGACAATGTAAGTCATTTTACATTAACTCTATTTGCTTTCATCTTCTCCTCCTCTGTGGCTCTGTTTCTGTCCTTGTCTATGATTAGCTCACATTTAAACACATGCTCCACACACACACACACACACACACACACGCACATTGTCCTGAAGGGCAGGAAACAATAAGAGATATTGATTAACTTGTTAGCATCCTCATTAATGACGTGAGTGTTGTCTGGCATGTGAAGGAAGCATTAGTGTGTCAAGGGTTGCTATTCTGGATCACAGCTCCAGAGTGCCTCAGAGATGCCAATTAAGTCACTAGTTTTCCAAGCTTTGTTGCCATAGTTACGGCACCATGGATACGACTCCATAGCTACCGCATTGCTCTTTCCTCCCTGTGTTCTCTCCGCAGCAAACACTCGCACACGCTAACAGATTCACTGTACACACAAATGTACACAGGAAATACATACGTGTCTGTGTGGACGTGAAAAGCAAGAAAGCACAAAGACTAAGAGAGAGAGAGACATTTAAATGGCTCTTTACCTGCATCCTGTACAAAGGTGTGACCACAGCCTCCCACTACCTCTCCAAAAATAGCTGCAGCAGCGCTCCCGAAGCAGCTGAATAAAAGTGGTCAGAGGAGCAGATCGAGGAGGAGATCCACAGAGAGGCAGGCAATCCAGTTCAAACATCTCCAATGACATATAGACGGCTATTTAAACACTGCCACCGCATAAGAGGCCACACGGGGATAGGGAAGGATGTCATTTTTAGACACGTAAACACCAAAAAAAGAGAGAATCCACCTACCCAAACCAAATGAATTACAGATTAAGAGATTCAGCCCACAGCAGTCTGTTGGGGGTTTTTTGAGGGGGGGGTGTTTTGGCAGCAGAGAGTTGTTCGTTTTTTAATATTTCAGCCGGCCGAGATCATTGAAAGAGAGTAAATTCTGTCTGTGGTGGAGTTCTGCTTTTGAAAACCCTATTTGGAGGCAGAGCACAGTGTCACTTTTGCCACCACTTTCACACCCTACTTGCTTAGTTGATGCATATTTCATCACACAGAGGACATTTCTTCACTTGCAAACTCAGTGACTGAGATCAAAACACCCTGAGAGACGGACGCACTTCAGTTCTGTATCGATTCTCAGTCCGCTTTTGTTTGTCCTTGTGCACGTCTTGCTGGGGAACCATACAGTCTGTGCGTGTATATTTGATTCTTTCCTATATATAGATCGACCACAGCATTGATTTACTAATTTACTAAAAAAAAAAAACCACTCTCTCCGCCACCACGCAGTGTAGTCAAAGGCCTGTGATAGAGGTGTGATTTTCAGACGCTAAAACAAACTGCTTGCTGTGATTATATGAATACAAATTGTATATGTAAACCCTGGCATATATATCTCATTACAGGTGTGTGTGTGTGTGTGTGTGTGTGTGTGTGTGGGCATGCAGAACACAATGCAAAACACAGTGATGGATGTTATTTCACACCCCCACAGAGAAAAAGACACGCACATGGCCACTTTCGACGGTTGCAGTTGGATGCACCCACATGTTCTTCAGTCACACACACACACACACATATAACGCAGACATATACAGCACACACATGCTTCCTCATTCAGGAGCGGGGGTGGAGAGCAGAGGGAGAGGTGGTGGTGGTGAGCATGGTGCAGTAAAAGAGAGACGCAACAAGTCAGCGTTACAGAAGAAAATGGCAGGAATATAGTTTGGAGGATGCGATGAGCGAACAGAGAGACAGACAAGAACCCATCTGCTCTATTATTCCTTTTATTCTCCTAATCCCTTTTCTCCTCCTCCCTCAATGGCTCTAATCATCTCGTCTCACTGTTTTCTGCCGCCACCACCTCTCACCTACAGTGGGAGAGCAGCCTGTGTGCCATAGTATGACATTAAACAGTACGGCTGGGCATCGAAGCTCAGTGTTTTTAATGCACACCGAGTACCGAAACCTGGCATCGAACGCATGGGCAGATCCTTTGTTCAGTCTTCAGTCACACAGTTCCAGACTCCATTCAAAATTTTGCCAATTTTAGATGATTTTATTCAAGCAAAGCTCTTGTGTGGCTGCTTGTTTGAGAAACTTGGCTTCGAACAGAGGAGGTTTGTAGAAAAACAAGTTTACTCTCGGAAAGTTTAGAAGGAAATAAAGAATAGTTTTGGTTATCTGAACCAAAACTCTGGTGTTATTAGCACTTACATCTATATTGAACGCTAGAGAGGCTTATGAGGGTTCATATTATCATCAGTTTCAGTGTTTATTCAGGGTTCAGTGTGTAGGATTTAATGGCATATAGTGGTGTAGTTGCAGGCTACCGCACCTGGTTGACAGCCAGTGATTTGGTATTGTCCAATCTGGGTACGTTAGAAACATGGCGGTTTTATTATATTAAATATTATATTAAAACTCAGTAACTGCACGTTGTGTATTAAGAGTGATTTGGATGATTTTGAGCGTTATTTCCTTTTAGGACTTTTTATTTACATTCTCTGTCTGTATTGTGGATTTTATATCATTTTTAACAATCATACAGACTTTATATGATTCTTTTTGGACAAATTCAGTGTTTTCTTCACAGAAACAAACCAAATGCTGACATATCAGCCTACAGTGTATATTTTTATAAAGGGTCCTGAGATAACTTATGATTATTGGCTTTATCCAAATAAAAACTGAACTTTTCTAGCAATCCTTTAAAATAAAGGACGTGTCGCGACCCCCCGTGACGCGTCGGCTGCCCCTAGTGGGGGTCTCAACCCTGAGGTTGGGAACCACAGATCTAACAGACACTTTATTTAACTGGATCCACTGACTCATTCATGTCCAATATCTTTTGTAAGCTCTTAGCTAATGCACCAAGCTCAGCACTGATCCGAGGAGTTCGAGGGTGAAGTCCTGTGTTAGCCTGTTTGATGAGGAAGAGAAGCGATGAAGACGAGAGAACACAGAGAGATAAGAGCATGAATACCCACAAATCAGTGCTTTTTAAACCCAACAATCTGACCTGAAGTCTGGCTGATGTGGAGTGAGTGAGGAGATGTTTGCCGTGTATAACAGAGGAATAGTATGGATGAATTCATGTCCTCTTTCACTTCGCTGTGTTCGGAGGGCTTTTTTTTCGCCGTTTGGTGCGATGACTCGGTGTCACAGGTGAAACACAGCAAATGTGTTTCCATCGGCTACTGATGCAGCAACGACCCAGAATGCACTGCTGTCACCGGGCCAACGTTCAAACGTCTTTCCTTCATATTGCGTCAACGTTTCCTCCTTTCCTTTCCTTCTTCTCGCCCATATTTTTTGTGTTTTCTTTTCCTCTCATCCCCGCTCCTACTTTTTACTTTTATTTCCTGTCTTTCTCTTCTTTCTTTTCTTTCTTTTCTCATCTTTTAGTGTTTGTTATTTTCCTTGCATTTCTCTTTTTTCTCAGATCCATTGATTTCTTTTCTCATCCTCTCTCTCTTTCCTATCTTTCCGGTATTCTTTCTTTACTTTTTTATTTCTTTTCTCATTCCTGTATTTTCCTTTCATTTCTTTGCATTGAATTTCCATTCCTTTCTCTTCTTTTCCTCTCTGTCCTTTTCTCTCCCTTTCTTCCTCTTTCTTCCTTTCCTCTGACTGTTCTCCTTTTCATTCCTGTCCTTTGTTTTCATTTCTCTCTTTTCTTCTTCCTAACCTTTTGTTTTCTCCTCCCCTCCTCCTCTGTCACTCATATTATTGAGGATAATGTTCTGCCATCTGAGAAGGATCATCTTTGTCTTTTTTTTCCTTTTCTCTCTCTCTCTCTCTCTCTCCCTCTCTACCCCCTCCCTCTGTTTCCTCACTTCTCTCTCTATCTCTCCCCTCCATCCATCCATCCCCCCTCTCTCCAGCTCCACTTTGTCTCTGTGTAGAATGGGATTCAGGCAGGCCAGCAGTTACCAGGCAACAGGCTACATGCTCATTGGCTCCGTCTCTGCCTCCCTTTCTCTCTCTGGCTCCTGCACGGGGTTAACTGCTGTTATGTACTGTTGGTTACTCATAGCGTGGTCTCGGGGGGGTTCGGCATCCAGCCATTATTCTATTTTCGGGCTGAACTTTTGCATGGGTGCCGCCTGGTGAGGTAACAAGTGGAATTGCCATGTTACCTCACCAAGCAGATGCAGAGACACTTGGTGCTGTAGCCTAAAGCATCTATCATCTCCTAATGTGACAAATCCCTTTAAAAACACTAAAAGAATGCATACAGAGCATTGTGAGGGATTATTTACAAGAGAATGGGATTAGCACTGCTGTAGCGACGTGTATAGTAAGTATTGTCTATCATTCAAATACAATACAAACACATACTCTCTCTCACTTACATGATTTATAATATAGTGTGATAGAATAAGACTCAGAAACAGAGGTTTACAGGGATTTTAACAAACAGGTGACAAGAAACAATGCAACATTTAAAAATGGTGATTAAACACGGTATTAAACAGGAATAAAGTAAAGAAAAACGAATAAAGAATTAAAAAGGGGCTAGTAAACAAGAATATACACTGAGATAAAAAGCAAAATGGATGATAAATCATTTGACAATTTGTTTTGAAATTGTAATAAAATAAAAAAAACACATAAAGAAAAAAAGGAGGTAGTAGACAAGAATATGCATTAAGATATGACAAAAATGGATCATAAAATGTTTTAAAACTGTAATAAAACAGTAAGTAAACAAAAACGAACAAAGAATAAAAAAGGGGTTAGTTAATAAGAATATGTATTAAGATAAAAACAAAATGGATGATAAAACATTTTAAAATTGGTATTCAAACTGTAATAAAGTATTTATTTCATTTATTAGACAAGAATATTCGATAAAAACAAGATTGATGGGGTAATAAATACAGATTACAACAAAAATCTTTCATTTTCTAAACAAAAACACAAATAAACTGCTCACTTTCTGGATAAAGAGTTATAAAAGACATAAAGAGACTCGTTTTACGGGAAATCTCCCCCCCCTCACACACACACACACACACAAGGAAGCACACGATGCTCATGAGGGTAGTTAAGAAGAAATAAAGCTGCAGCTGAATGCAGCCGGAGTTCGGCGGATCCTCGGTGATGGCTCCTCCAGGCCGGTTTCTAATGAGCCAAACTTCAGATCCACCAGCAACAACTCTTAGCCTCAAAACGTACTTTAATAAAGAATGCAGTAAATTACATTATATTCTCAGACACGTCAGTGCTCCAGTTTCAAGTAAACTTACACATTTTCTTTCCAGATTTTCTAAACCTCTTTATTTGAAGATAAAAAGGTTAAATACAGTAGGTCAAAGTTGTTTTCTTGACTTTTTTATATATATATTTTTGTGGTCTTGTCTTTATTTTGAAAGGACAGCTTAACGTAGACAGGAAACGGGTGGAGTGAGAGGGGGTGACACAGGTCAGACTCATCCATGGATGCTGCAGCATAAAAACTATAAAGTTTATTAATGTAGCATTCACCAAAACCAGCACCTTCAAAGTGCTTCAAATCAAATATGAGTACAAATATTAATCATATTTAGAGCTGCACAATTGATCAAAATATTATTGCAGTCGCAATATGTCCGAGTGCAACATGCAAATCACAGGCTGCATTTCTTTCGCTAAAGGTAAAAATGTGACAACCAGCATTATAATGAAGAAGAGCTGCAGAGATTCTCTGACCTACAAAGATTTAAGAAAACATGTTTGTTTGGTTCAGACCCCAAACAACATTTCACATCATCATGAATTTAACACTGAAAATTACATTTGTGATTCAAAAAGGATTCTTAATCACGAATCATATCCCATTATCTGTCAGAATAATCCCAATACGATGTTGCTACTGTGTCGTGCAGCCTTAGTAATATTAATATTACTGATGTTGTCAAATGTCAGCACAAAGGACGTCGTTGTGGAGCTCTCAGTTGGAGACGCACTGCAATTTAAGAAAAAACAGACAAATTCAACAAAACTGAGAGAAAACGCAACCTCAAAGTGAAGCACACGTTGTTGTCGCTGTGGTTCGTGATGAAGTTACTGGAGTCGGCTAATTGAAGTCAGAAAATGAGCTGAAATAAATACATGTGTTTGGTGAATCAGGTGTTCTTCAATGTCCATTCTTTCTGAGAACTCATCCATGTTGGCTTATAAGTGAAGACTGAGAGCGTCGGCTGTATTACTGTGCTATATGAGTACCGGCAGTATAGTTTATAAACATATAGTAAATAGTATAGTATAGTATAGTATAATAAAATAGTATAATAATATAGTATAATAGTATAATAGTATAATAGTATAGTATATAGTAAATAGTATCATCCTTGCCAACAGTAATTAGTTACACTACTAGTTATATTACTTTTGTGCCACTTCACCACAAAATTGTGTCCATTCTCCCCAAAATTAAGATGATTAAAATATACTTTTTCTTTTTTTTTTTTTGACAAAAAATACACTTTTTTGGACTCTTGAGATTCATTTCTTGCAGTGTGGAGTTGTTGTCTTCATTGTTAAACAACAACTATTGATGATAAAAATCTATCTGACATGACTCATAAAGTTAAATTAAAGTTTTATTTATTATATGACATTTACGTTTGCTGCCTTCCTCTCACTCTGAATGAAATGACATATTTCTCTGTGTTTGTTGGAAACATTTGGGGTAGTATCATCATTTTTAGACCTTTTAATGTGAAAATGGTGCATACAGGAAGCTTCCTCTCTCTTTCTTTAAGTCTGTAAAGTGTTAAAAGCCACAAAACTCTTTCTCACCTCTGTGAGGCTTCTTGTGAGCATCAAGAGGAGGAAGAGTAACCGTGCGTCTGCATTTCTGAGAGGAGTTGGCCCCCCTGGGTAACGATGCCCCTGTTTTTCACCTCAAAGCTGGAACAAGATAGATGGTGTCACTCTTTTGCTGTGGTACTTTTTGATCAAGGAGAGTGGACTGCTTCTCAGGAGAGCAGAGCACGCAGAGAGAGAGAGAGAGAGAGGGGGGAAAAACACACAATTAAAGCTTTGAAGACGGCTTCATTCACTCAGGTTTCCCCCAGATACACGATGCTTTGTAAATGTCTTGTGCAACAAAAGCTCTGCCAAGACAGCAGCAGTGGCCGGTGATATTACTCATGTGTACTGTATGAAATGAAAGTTTCCCAGTAAGTGTGTGAAATCTCTGGACCTCTTGTCCTGTGCTGTTCCTTGTGTAACGAGCACAGAGTGAGAGAGCAAATGGACAGGATGAATGATGATGTGTTTGCTAATGAGACATGACACATAAGTGTTGATCACCATGGAATCTTGTTTTTTATTTTCTTTGTCTCCATAGCGACGAGGAAGAGCTGCGGAAGTCGTTTTCAGAGCTCGGGGACAGCCTGTGTGACTCCAACGCCTCGAAATCGATGAAGCGGGTGGGCAGCAGTGGGAAGCCCCTGTCGGAGGAGACGGAGGCCTCCGGGTCGCTGCTGTACAAGAACGGGTTCCTGGTCCGCAAAGTCCACGCCGACTCGGATGGCAAGAGAAGTACGAACTAAAAAATCTCCCATTCACGCTTTCCCATCTCGAGTTTCAAGGTTTATTCAGTAGCTGAACCTTTGATCACATCACATGATGATCATCGGCTGATAAAGTTGCCTTCTCTTCTTTTTCCTAAAATCCCAGCCCATATTAGACACTAAATCAACCTCAGCTAGGATGACCCCACATCATAATGTACACCAATTCAGAAAGGAAAACATTATGGTGGTTACATTTTCTTTTACATTCCCCAATGCTGCAGAACACATCCCCAATAAGACTGTATGTGATGCCATGTAGAGTGTATACTGAACAGTGTGTTAGCGCTGCTCAGTGCCAATTATACGTGAATGCAGGAAGGTATCTAAACGAAGCAGCCCCAACAGCAAGTTTCATCCAGATGTACAAGAACTGGTAGACACGTGTATCATTTTCAGACGTACAAAAAAGTCTCTTGGAGCCACATCGTAAACCCAACAGGAAGTCGGACATTTTGACATTTTACTATATAACCAAGAGATCCTGTAAGAAACTGTTATATTAGTCATAGAAATGCAGCTGAAATAAAAAGGCTAGACGTCTTTTTCACCTTCAAATCTCCAGAAACCACTTTGCCTGTTCTCTGACAATAAAGTTAAATTCTAGAAAAGTCAAAAGGCAAAATCCACAAGCCTCTTTCCCTTTAATTCATCTCCATTAAATCCTCATCTTTGCATTCTGAGTGGTACGCCGACGACCAAGCGACCACAGAGCTCTTACCCAAAGCTTGTGTCAGAACCAATTTCACACCAGCGATCGACCCGAGCATCTCTGTCTTTCACTGTCAGTGTGAATACGTTCTGTCCGGCTCACGAGGAAAAGGACGAGACACAAATCAGCTGGCGGATTAGTCTGCACAAATAAAAACTGATTTATTATAAGTTTTAGTTTGTTTTCCATTCAGTTCGGTTTCAGTTCCCAGAGTTGCTCGTTTCAATTTAGTTTTAATTGTTTATTTTAGTTTATTAGTTTCGGTGTTAGTTTTAGTTTTTTAAATAATAATAGGGGGGTTATTTGCCAGGGGATTTAAGTTCAGAATAGTATTTACAATACAAACACTTAGCTGCTGACTCACACTCATGTAGACGTCCCAGTGTCATGCTGGTGTTGAGAAATTTGACATTTTCTGTATATTTTTATTTTATTTCAGTTTTCTAAGTACACATTATTGTCTCACGTTTATTTCTAAAGACTAGTTTTTATTTTTATTTCAGTTTTTTACACCTAGTTTCAGTTCTTAGTTTAGTTTTAGTGAACTATAATAACCTCACTGTGAGCAGCAAGAGTGTATGATGGGTGGATTATGCTACGGGTTGTGTTTATATTTGCTGTCTTATATTACTAATGACTATAAGCTAGTTTAGTGTGTAAAGAAGTTTAGGAACAACGTGGTGGTTGTAAGACGCAGAACTGGAAAAGTCTGCAGTTTAAAAAGAAGCAAAGAGCATGAAGTTGTATCTGAAGCTGTAACGTCAACACTTTTTCTCCTCCTCACAGCACCGAGAGGGAAGAGAGGCTGGAAAACCTTCTATGTCATCCTAAAAGGGCTAATTCTCTACCTACAAAAAGTAAGTCACTCACATTACATAGAGTGTGTTTTATGGAAAAGCCTAAAAAGGGATGTGTGAGAAGCAATTGGTAACAGCTACTACTTGATATTCATTATTCAACCTTTAAAATAACAGGTGACTGCATCTCCATAAACATCCTGTTTTACTTTGATGCCAGCAACAAATTTGTAACAGAAGGTGAATCGTTATCCTTTTTGGTGGATACAAAATCTTCTTATTCATCATCTGCTTACAAACAATTCCCAGCATGCTTTACTTTAACAAAATACTGGGAATATAGAAAACATCTTTGCAGTGCCTACCCAGTAAGCAAATCTGTGCAAGGGTGGGACTTTATTGAGCCCATTTCCTGTTTACGTGTCGAACAAGTGCTCTGACATAATGTGTTGGCTTTGGTTTGGGAAAATCTCTGCCAACGTAACAGGCAACCGTCACTCTACTGCAGCCTGTTTCCTTAAAAGGAGCTCTTTTCCTTCATTGAGTAAACTGACTAAGTGACATATTTTAATATTTTAAATTATATTTAATGCATAACAATAACAGTAGAGAATAACTGTACAATGAATCCAAATAGTAACTGCAGGAAGTTTGTGTAAAATGAGCGATTTGGATGAATTTTGAGCTAATTTGAGGACCTTTTAATACAATTCTCTCTCTGTACTGTGTACTCTGCAAAAACAGCCCTTCTAGAAACAAGCCAAATATTCTTAAATATCATCAAATATTCTTGTATTGAGCAAAGCAATCTGCCAGTGGGGCAAAACTGGCATTAAAATCAGCCACTGAAAGATTGTAATGGGCCTTAAAGTTAGACAAAATGACAAATATTTAAGCAAGTTGTGCTTATTACAAGCAATGAATATTATACATGTATATAATATTTGCTGCAAGACAAAGAAAACAAGGCTTTTTTACTTTCTTCAGATTCCTTTTTTGCAGTGTATTTTTTTAAATATCATAAATAATTAATAGACACTTGGCCATTGTTCTATCAGCTCTTTGGTTGTTTTAGCTGCATTCTTTTCTAATGCAGGACGAGGCTGTTTATGAGAGACTGAAGGATCTGTGAATACAGCTTCTGTTCAAAGTTTAGATTTTAAATAATAATGTCTTCATAGAAATGAACCAAATGTTGAGATTTAGTCCCTTTTCTTACACCCCTTAAAATCAAGAAGGCCTATTGAGGGTCGCCAAATCTTTGACCCTTTAGAGACTCCATAGCTTTGTTTTCTTGGGCTGGGAATCGAACCTCAGAACTTTTTTGGTACCGACTGTAATAGCACCGAATATCAAACTGTCAAGTACTGAAAAGTTTCTGTGTTGTTAACTTGATCTTGGATCAGAGAGCTGCAGAATAAAATGTGCCAGTTTTAGACTTTATTATGTCCAGGTAAATATCTTTGGCTTCTTTAAAAGAATATAAAACATTTATATTCCTCAAAGTATATGTACATTTGAAACAATACCCAATATAATTTACTTATATTAGAGCTTATTAATTAAAGTTTTTGTATACAGTATTTGCTGTTATATTAATTCACAGAATCACTGCACCATAAATGTGGAGTGTTTGTTCAAATTCTCATCTTCAGTCAAGTAAATTCAGGAGAAATTCAGGGATTTTTTCTATTTCTATCATGGAGGCGACCTTGTTTTCTATATTCTTATGTCAGTGTGGGTCCAAAAGAGTATTGTTTTGGTACCAGAACTCTCATTAGGGCTGGTTATTTCAAGCAGCACCCGTGTGTTCTTTAGATCAGACACATCCACTGAGGGTGAAAACAGCTCCCTACTTGAAAATAAGTTGCTTTGGTTTTATATTTTGTATCCTTTACAGATTTGGGTTTATTAGTTTAGTAGGAGTCATTACAATGAATGGGCCCTGCAGCGCCCCCTAAAATCTGGCATAAAGGAAACCATTAATTCATAAAAATATTCAAACTTGACTTGAAGGAAAGAGGTTGTTTATTAATCTCTTTTAGCTGTTATAAAATGTTGTTAAAAAGGCCGTAAATTACCCTGGCCATTCAAATTAATGTAATAAAACATGAACCTCATATGTCATCATAATATAGAGAAACTTTCTGTCCCTGTTACAATGCAGCTAGTGTTTCTAACTTCTCCAATAAAATATGTTCTTAGTCAGCTCACCAGCTTTAATAAGTGTTACGACCCCTCTGTGTTAATCATAGCATTCATTTCTTATTTATAATTGTCATGCCAGGGGGAATACCGGCCGGATAAACAGCTGTCTGAGGAGGACCTGAAGAACGCTGTGTCCATCCACCACTCTCTGGCCATGAAAGCTTCAGACTACAGCAAGAGACCCAACGTCTTTTACCTGCGGACGGCTGACTGGAGGGTGTATCTCTTCCAGGCACCGTGAGTCTAATGTTTCTGAAATAATATATATAGACACTGTACAGTTATCCACACCTACAGTATACAGCCTGTGTGCAGCTGCACAGCGACTGCAGCAGAACTTCAAACCAACTCATACCCAACAGAGTTCGACTCTCGTTTTATCTCCGCTGCTGTGCTTCATTTTCTGACATGCACTCTCCGTCCAAACGTCCAAAAGTATGTGGACACCCCTGCCCTTATTTACATGTATGTACTTTTTGTGTGTGGAGATGTTTTTTAGGGTTTGGGCTCAGCCCTTTAGTTCAAATGAAGGTAAATCTTAATGCTTCAGCATACATGATCCATGTTCCTGTAGAAGGGTCGGTGTACTTTGTGGACAATGGATTTCTGTTTTGAGATGAGAAAACTACCATTTCTAAATATGGGGAACAAAATGTGTAATTTTTTCATTTTCAGTTTTAATTTTCAAAACAAACTTGTCTGGCCTGAACAGAGCCTTGACTTTAACCCCCTCTGAGATGAAATGGTACGTGATCACCCAACATAACATCGGTGTTAGACCTCACTAACTGGGATCAAATCCCTGCAGCCAGCTTCTAACGACTGGTGGACAGACTGAAACCAGAAACGACATGTTCATCGATCACATATGGGTGTAACGCTACGGTGTCCGCATACTTTTGGCCATGTACCGTAGCTCACAGCTGAGCATCCATCCTCCGCTGATAACACGCGGTGCCAGCTGTGCACATGTGCCCACGGTGCGCGGGACACACGCCAAGAGCACGCAGACGGAGGCTACACACACATGTTGAACAGGATGTTTAGTAAATGTTAAGAGCGAGGTGGAGGTGTGTGCATGTGTGTTATCCAGGAAGTGGCACATGAGTGGCCACATGTTTCAGCCCCCAGGAGAACAGGCTCTGTGCTCCAGTTGCAGCTTGCATTTGTCCCAGATACTGTACCCCTCTCTGTGTCTCTCCTCTTTCCGTCTCGCTCCTCTTTGTCTCTCTATCGCTCCTTCTCTCTCTCTGTCTCTCCCCGGGGATTTAAGCAAGGCTGTCTGATTCAATCTGATATTTCTCATGGGCCCCTAATGGGTCTGTTAGTGTAAAACAGGCCCTTTTCTCTCTTGCATTAATTGGCTCCAAAATAATTTCTTTGTCAACAGCAAGGCTGCGTTCTCTGATAATTATCCCTTTGATGTTGTAAGCTAGCCATGTGCTGCACCGTGGAGAGGAACTGATAAGTCTGTTTGTACCTACTCCGTGTGTGCTGGAGTTTAAGATCTGCGTGCTTTTGTGTCTTTGTTTTCTATGCCTGTATGCATGTGTGGGCGTGTGTTATCCACTGCAGGAACGCCGAGCAGATGCAGTCTTGGATCACGCGGATCAACGCAGTGGCCGCCATATTCTCAGCTCCTCCCTTCCCAGCAGCCATCGGCTCGCAGAAGAAGTTCAGCCGGCCGCTGCTGCCGGGGGCGACGTCCAAACTGTCTGAGGTGTGTGGATGTCCAGGATCCTGTGAGGTCCATTAGAGCGAGCACTGACTGACGCAGCATTTTTCATAACATAATGGCAGAGTAATTATAATTAAACTTTCATGAATAAACACTTCACTTAACACAAATATAATATATTACTAGTGGCCACTAGTGGCTGTGAGTGCAGGCATTTCATTCCTCATGTCGATCAGTTGTATAAGTGGAAACCCATTTATGATGTGTGTCGTTTACAGGCCACAAATGTAATAAGTAACATCAGTAACATCGGTAAATGGCCTGATAGCAATTAAAGCTATGAGAGAGTATTACTGCAATTATGAGAAATAAATTGTGCTCTTTTTCTTCCTATAACAAGTTTATTGACACGTTAGAAATTGTTAAAATGTGATATTTTATAAATGGAGTTAGGTGCAGGGAGCTTTTAGTGGAAACAAACTGATAACATGTATAATTATTCAACATTTTGTCTCTACACAAACTGGAGGTAACTGTATGATAACGCTGTCTGACGTTGACTGCTGTTAGTTATTAGTTTGATTAATGGTTTAGTAATGTGTGTATCGCTGGCTGATCAAGCTTATTATAAGTTTGTTTTACTCAGTTTCTACCAGCAGTACGCTGTAAATGCTTGCCCTTTATACATCATTTAAACTACTTTCCTAATTGAACACGACGTGCTTGTTATTAATCGTGTTATTAACGACAGAGAGCAGACAGACTGGATGTGAAAGATCTTGTAGTGTGTGACCTCCTGTTGCTGATCAGTCATGTAGTGTGACAACATCCTGTCTGATTGCAGCAGAGGAACTTTGTTGCACAATATTCAGCTTCGTCTATAAGGGAACATATGATACGTTACTCTATATCAACACAGTATATATTTGTTCACATTTTTCAAATCCTTCTACAAACAATATTCAGGTGCCCAAATGAGCACTGGTTTTTCTTGCTGTAATCGTTCCTCCTGTTCATAACTGACCCTCCCTAACATGTTTCCAGTGTAATTTATTCTGTGTAAAAACATATTCCAAGGTTTATCTGAAGTATATGAGGCTTCAAATCAAATGAATATCTTCTGAAGGCATCGTCTTTTTGGCACCAAATTCTCTCTTTGTGTTGTTCTGCATTGCAGCTCAGCACAGAAACACTGTCCAGGGACGTGTAAAGAGGGAATTTCACACAAATCAGAACAATTGTGTCCGTAATTTAAAACAAACAAAGGCAAAAGGGATATGGCAGGCAGGCAGAGCGTGAAAAAAGAAAGACAAATGGTTATGAAAAGGTAACGGGAAGGCTGGGACAGAACGCTCATTAGACAATGTGGTGGGCATCTGAGGGAAAGTGGCCGTTAGGTGTGTTGAGGAGCTGATTGGGACCAGGTGCACAAGTGGGAGTCACTAATGATAATAATTAAAGAATGCAGTTGTTTATTATTTCCTTGTGCTTTACAGGAGGAGCAGGTCCGATCCCACGAATCTCGATTCAGAGCCCTCTCCACCGAACTGTCTGAGCTTCGCTCCTACCCACCTGACCGCAAGGTCAAAGGGCGTGAGCTGGAAGAGTACCGGCAGCGAGACGAGTATCTGGATTTCGAGGTGAGCTGGAAGGAAATGGGAAAGGCAGTCAAGCATGAAATCATTATTACCGTACTGCCGCTCTCCGATTTGTCCAATCCTAAAATGTCTCTCACACGCCTTTATAGAAAACACGGTATGCGACCTACGTCATGCTGCTGCGAGCTAAGATCCGGAGCGGCGAGGAGGACCTGTCTGTGTTCGAGTCCCAGCTCCTGGAGGACAACAGGCTGCAGAGAGCTCACTCCAGCCCCACGCTGCAGGACAGCAGCCAGGCCAGTCAGGTGAGCCAGGCCAGCAGCACCAGGGACGGCGGCAACAGCAGCAAAGCCAGTGGCTGCAGCAGCAGCAAGCCTCGGCAGGAAGGCCAGAGACACAGCTACCGGCAGGCCGTCAAGAAGTGAGACGGGGCGGGGGCGCCGGGAGCGGCACAGCGTTGCACTGCCAGCGGCAGGCTGTCTCCCTGCATAGGTTTTTATTTGAGATCCAGGAGGGTTTGGAGCTCTGCTTGAAGGGGGAGCAGGAGTGAGGGTCTACCCCACGCCCTCCCCCAAACCATGACGCCCTACCCGGCACCCCAATCTTCTCGTCTAACAGAGGAGGGCTGGAAAACACCAGCGAGGATTGTTGGTGCAGGAGGTGGGAGGATCGGCTGGGAGGTCACAGATCTGCAGAGACGAGGTGTCTTTGAGAACGTACGCTGGGTGCAGCAGCAGACTGAACTGTGCAGTGAGATAAAGAGGGTGCTTATACGCTGAAGGGCACCAGACAGGGACGTACATCCAGCATCCTTTCCTTTTCTCCCCTTTTGTTCTTTGAAGGCACCTCCGGCCACGTTCTCCCACCTTTTTTCTTGACCTTTCACTCAGTTTTGGGACCAAACACACGTTTTAACACATTTTAAAACATCACATTTTAGACGACTGATGATTTGATTTCAGTTGAATTTGCTACCGCCACTCTGATTTTAAGCGCTGTAACAGACTTGTGAAACATCACCAGGTCTTATGGAGCCATTACATTCCAGCTCCTTCTTTTGCCACATCGCTGCGGCGTGTTCACATTCCACACGGGAGCCGGACATTACAGCTTTGGGCTTCTGTACGTGTTTCACTTAAGGTGGTACCCAGTTGAATCTACAGACAGCGCTCAAGGGTGTGGCTGCGATATACTACATGATGAGATTGTGCAGCTCGGTGCAGCTCGTCTCTCCTCTTTCCTCTAGCCACCGATGGCCAATTAGAGGCAACAGCATCAGTAGAAGTTCACAGTACTCCTGATGTGCATCTCATCAAGAGAAAGAGTTCTTTTATTTTTTATTTCTTGAACTAGTGATCCCTCTCCCAGTTGCTTTCCGCTTCTGTCCCGTGGTGTGCTTCTGTTCTCTTTCAATTTCTTGGCCGAAAGTTGTTTTCCTCCAGTGATCCGCATGCCTGCATCCAGCACAGCTTCTTTTAGGCCTTTTACTACTTATGAGGGCAAATCTGAGAGCAGTAAAGTTGTTCTCTGGGGTCATTTTCTTCATGCCGGTGCCATAGCCAACATGTGTAATCTCTGTCTGTACTTATAGCCTCTCATTTATAAAACCCTATTTTAACACTCACCAGGCAGACCCTGAATGTTCTTGTTTTTTCAATATTTTTACAGTATTTTACAGTCGTTTGTTGATGTTGAACCTATTCCACCTGTGTATGTCAAGTGTATGATGAAATATGATATTGAAAATGTAAAAGGAAATATGTTATCCATACTCTTTGTAAACATCCAGGATATGTTGTATATAATGGCACCATCAGCTTATATTGTAGGATATATGACAGTATATTTACAATATATTCAACACAATGTTGTGCAGATGCATTAGGTACACTCAAAAGTTTTCTTCTTGTAAGTCCCAAAAGCGCTACGTGATAATCATGTGTTGTTTTTTGTTTTTCTTACATGGTGGTAATAATTCAGCACAATATGAGTATTATAGTAAAGCCTATGTACCTATCAAAGATTAGTAAGTGATCAAAGGGTGTTTGTGACAGGAAGTCGCCGCGCGGTAGTGAAAAAAAGTGAATTCACGTGAGGATTTAAGCTACCGTGGGAGGTATTCCAAAGACAGCGCATGGTTCGCTATGACCTAATAGCATGATTTTAAAGGGATCAGGGTTGATTGTGTTGTCAGAGATGCATGAAAAAGGTGAGGAATGTAAAAAAAAAAAGAAAAAGAGGAAGACAATGTGACTCATTAAGGAGGATGTGGTTTCAACACTGAACCACACGTGGTTTGATTTTGGTAGCCATATACACCTCATAGCATTACTGATGTATAGCCATTTTCTACTCAGGCTTTAAAATGAGACCTTGAGCAGCTGCAGTGCCAGCATCCAACCAGCAGGGAGAGCTGTCAACTTTCAGTTTTTTCAGCCATAAATCACACCTGCTGCACCTGCAGTGAATATGCATGGCATCGCCCACTCACCTGAGGACGGGGGGACGGGCATCGCAGGGCTAAACAAGACAACACCTGTTTGTATTAACTATGGATGTCGAGTCTGTTCGAGTGTGCGTTTACACGTGTGTCTTGCTGTATGTGAATGTAAGTGTGTGCATGCTGTTCAGAGGAGCCTGTTGTTGTTTGCAGCCAGTTTTTTTCACGATGTCTGACACATGTTTCATCCAGCATCAGTTCCCATGTTGTTAACAGATTAATATTATTAATATTCAGGCTTAGGCATATCTCAGAGTGTCAGGAGCTGAAACGATTGGAGAAAGTGAGTCAGCAACTATAACCGACAAACAATCCCCAGTTGCAGATGAGTATTTCCCTCTTTTCTTTGTGTTATGTCAGTGGTTCCCAACCTGCGGGTCGGGAGCCCCACTAGGGGTCGCCAAAGCTTCACAGCAGGTCGCGAGGCCTTCTTAATTATAAGGGGGTGTAAGAAACCTTTAAAAAATATACACAGTAGGTCAATATCTCTGCATTTTATTAATTTGTGTGAAGAAAACTAATTTATTTAAGTTTTAAGTTTTTAAAGTTCAGATTATTATTTAATATCTAAACTCTGAAGAGCTGAACACAAGTTATATTCACAGAGCCTGTGATGAACAGCCTCGTCCTGCATTTAGAAAAGTTTAAATAACCAAAGAGCTGATAGAACAATGGGAAGAAAACACTGAATCTGTCAAAAGATAACCCTATTAAGTCTGTATGACTGTTAAAAATACATAAATATCAAAACTCATCTCTGATCAATATTCACATGGATTAATCTCAAAGTTCATCCAAATCGTTTTATACAAACTTCGTAATCACTATTCACTTCACTATTTGGGTTCATTGTACAGTTTATCAGTTGTTCTGTATGCACTGATTATAATGTGAAATAACCATAAAATTACAAAGAGAGTCCCTTCAGGAAGAGAGTTGGGAACCACTGATAGTAGAACTGAGTGTATTTGAGGTTTGGACTGTTAAACTGTTAAACATTTTGTTGACTGAACGATTAATCATGATCATAATTAGTTGTAGCCCGACTGCAGTTTACTTCATCAATATCTCATCTCGTCCTCTGATTGTCTGCACTTCCAGGGGCGTGTCCAGGGGAGGGGCGGGTTGTGGCACTGGCTGACCCCTAAATTCTGATTGACCACCCCATTATTCTTACCTCTTTCACTCCACTTCCGCTTTACTTTAAAGCTAGAGTGAATATACTGGTATCATATGAAACCAGATGACCTAACGCATATATTGTTACCAATCATGTTATGCTAGCATGTTGGGAAGGGGGCAAAATAATGCTCCAAAGTTAGGCAAAATTTTGGAGATGGAAACCTGGCATTGCCATTTTCAAAGGGATCCCTATGAACTCTGACCTCAAGATATCTGAATGAAAATGGGTCTTATGGGTACCCACGAGGCTCCCCTTTACAGACACACCCACTTTATAGCTAGTGTTTTTGACTATTTCTGCATACTGGGGTCTGTATAAATTGGGAAAGCAGAGACACATACTTGATGTCAACCCCTCAGTGTCTGGAAGTCTGGAAACGCCCCCGTGCACTTCAGTCATTTCACTGATATCACTTTTCAGTCTGGTGGTTTAAAATAAGTGGATATTGTTTCCCTCCTGTATCTTTTACCGGTTATGTAACGTGACATTACAGCTCTGTATTTATTAATAGTGTTTGACTCTGCTGCTGTTTATAATGTGGCCAAACTTTCAAAGAGCTGCCAGACTCATGTTGAGTGTCATTCATGAAGAACGGTGATGAGTTTTGATTCCGAAAGTCCCGATTTAAGTCATTCTTGAATATTCAGTTGCATCAGATCATCACCAGAAACCCCAATATTGCATAAAAGCACTTATCATTATTTAGCCTGGAACCTTACATGTTTTTGTATTTCACATGTAAGCAGCTGTTGAGTTACTGTATGCCTGAAAATATAATTTACCACAAATATACACATGTGACACCCAGTAGCTGTTCTGGAGCTTTCGATCGTATCACACGATATTCCTCAGCACGTGGAGTTTATCCCATTTTTATGAGAATGTTTTTGTGTTTCTGTCGATCAAAAGAGGAAATTCATCTCCACCAACAGTATTTTGATAATCGATAGATCCTTGCAGCCATTTTTTGATTGCAGCTTTTTAAATGTAAAGATTTGCTGCTTTTCTTTGACATATACAGGGGCGTTTCCAGAGGGAGGGGATCTGATTGGCCATCTCAAGTACCACCCCATTATCCTGACCTCTACCACTCCACGCTGTCTTTCGGAGGCTGTAGCGAGCTTTGTTTAAAAGCTGATGACCTAACGCATCCATCGGTACCTACAATGTCATGCTAGCATGTTGGGAAGGAGCTAAATAATGCTCTAAATTAACCAGATTTTTGTCTTATAAATCCTATAAATCGTTAGTCTTATAAAGTTGCTTCCAAGTTAGAAAAAAACCCTGTTTCCACATTTTATCAGGTTGCTCACATTAAGGGAAACATTCAAACCCAAGTTTTTTGCACTATAGTTGCAAAAAAACCATCATAGCTGCAATCATGTAGCCCTACTGGCGTTATGTCAGCACGTCTGATATGTAATAATCAGTTTATAACATACCCACATCAATAATAATAATAATAAAGCCACATGATCCATGATGATAAAGATACAAAAAGGTAGAATACATGGCAAAAATAGCATATTTTCAATATTTTAGAGACCTGCCAAAATCAAGGGAGCTCATGTGTTATAAACTGCAGTTCGCACCCTGCAGTTACCCTAAAGACATATGTGGTATCTATGAAAATGAGTTTTAAATGGGGTGAAAAGGTTAAAGACGTCACCTCCGGCTGTTGGAAATTGCTTTCTGTACTATTTTTGAACATTTCCAACAGATTAATCAAGAAAATTATCAGCAAATGAATTGATAATCACAATAATAAGATCATTATTGGGATTGTAATAACTGTTATTGGATCATTGAACTAAAACTCAGTGGAGACTGCACTGATATGAGCTCCTGTAACAGATCTTATACCCACAGACTGCACAGACTGATGGGTATTCTAGGCACTGGCTCTATACGCTCCACGCAGTATGTATGGATGTAGTATGAAAAAGGAAGGCAGCTCTTCAGAGCCTCCACCTTGACAAAGTCTCCAAGGTCCCCCCCTCCTCTTCCTCCCTCTACGCGTTGTCACCGCTCACTTACATCAAAGAGCAGCTGCAGGATCTCCATGGCACTGGTTAGCATGGAAATGGCTGGTTCCCCTGGTGATGGCTCTGTGATGCTCAAGTGAAAGTCACCCTGTTGTACTGCGTTCACGGCGGCAGGGTACCTCTGTTAAAGCAGCAGTGCACGCCCGCCACCGTTTGGGGGCAAACTGTCCTTTTAAAGGCGCGACTCGTACTGTTTCCATTCAAAGCCTCATTTCTGAATGTGACATGTAAATAAAGCATGAGATATTACGGCCTGCGTTCATTTATATTATGGTTAGAGTATTAAATGAAGGGTTAATATATAAGGTAGGTCAACATGTTTTTTTTCCTGTCCTTGAGCTCATGGTCATTTATTTTTATTTTTATTTCTATGTGAATGATGAAGGAAATGGCTATATTTAACGCTGTCGTATGCTGTTGTGTTTTAGAGAATCGAGCCAGCTCATACAAATCTTTTTACATGTGGAGGTCTGATCTGATCCATCTCAGTGTTTTTTAGACTGGTGCAGGTACAAAGGCAACGTTCATTTAATGCTACACACACAGTGAGCTACATGTGTCACTGCCTTGTTAAAAACTCACCAAGGAAATGTTGTTTGTGAGCTTCTCATTTTTTGGGAGGCATAAAGGATGAAAATAAAAGTGTTTTGGAAGCTTAACTGTGTCCCAACATCATTGTGTTAAATATACTTAATAATATATTTGTTTGACTGCAGTGAGAATATAAATTATATTATTTTGTTATACAGTAAATTTAAAAACCTGGCTCCACCTTGATCACAACATTAAAATACAGCTTATGTTAATGTATCAGTAATGACCTAATAATATAATATACAATAATAAAGCACCAAAATCCTCAAAGATTATATTTTTATCAATCTGGCAAATTATTATTATTATTATTACAATTGAATAGATCAATAATATAATATAATATAGACGTTATTGATAAATTCACTTGTTACAGCTCCAGTTGAACATAAAATAAGAAAGACATAAAATAACAAAATAAAATAGAAAAATACAAGATATGAAGACAAAAATAGAATTAGGGTTATATGTACAATAAATAAAGTATTTATACAGATGTGATTTAAGTAAAAATAGAATATTTGTTACAGGTTACAGAAGGAGGAAGTAGCACATTGTAGAAATACTTATAGTAATAATAATAATAATAATAATTACACCAGACAAAGAAATATAAAAATACGTACAGTGGTAATTTAGCAGGAGAATATTGGTTAGACAGAGGTATGGATATACAATACAAGTCAAGACTAATGTGCATGTAAGAAATTATATTTATATATTTATAAATGTATGTAAGAACATATCTTGTGTTATTATCTTTTGTATATATTTGGTTCTGTGGCTCCAGAGTCTGGTTGTCTGGTTGTTTTTGTGTCCTCGAGTTTAAGAAGAGGTCATCTATTGAGACTCTATTTTGGTCTATTTTTATTTAATATATTAAAATATAATCATCATAAGATAAGAAGTATAAACCCTTTATGGTTACTAATTACTTGTAGAATCAGATCACAATATTAAAGTAACGTAACTTCATTACTTTTTGTTTGGATTACCTCAACCTTTATGGTTACTAATTACTTGTAATCAGTAATCAGATCACAATATTAAAGTAATTTGAGTACTTTCTGTTACTTTAGGATTACCTGAACAGCAAATATGCAAATAAATACAATTAAAAATAAATAAATAAATAAAAACAACTGACTATATTTTTTAACATCTAATTAATTAAACGTATATAAGGTGGTATTTACATACGGTTACAAACGTATATCACAGCGTGGTATTTAGCAATACTAACGACCGATATGCGAGGTGGTATTCATACACTAATAACCAGGTATTACTAGTCGGTATTTGAATATTAACGTATATAAGGTGGTAGTTTACCATATTAAACGTATAATACACAGGTCGGTATTTACCTATTAACACGTACTATCACCGACGGGTGCGTTTACCATTAACGACGTATATACCACGGTGGTATTCTCACTTTACACCAACGTGATCAAGAGGTGGATTCCTACATATTACCAACCGTTATAAAGGTGGTATTTACCTAATAAAGGTATATAAGGTGGTATTTACATATTAAACGTAATATACAGGTGGTATTTACCAATTTAAACGTATATAAGGTGTATTTACATATTAACAACGTATACTAAGGTGGTGATTCTACATATTAGACGCTATCAACCAGGTGGCTATTCTACGCGTAATTAAACGTATATAAGAGGTGGTATTTAGCATATGTAAACGTATAATAAAGTGGATTACCTATCTAACACGTACTAAAACGTATATAAGGTGGTATTTACATATTAATTCCGTCGTTTGATGGGTTGTTGAACAGTTTTTCTTTTTAGCGGCGCCTGAACGCAGCAGCCGCAGCCGCAGTGTCTTTGAACGCACCTCGGTTTCGTTATCACATCCGGGGCTTCGGGTGACGGTGCTGCGTTGACCCGAGAACAACAAGACCAACTGAAACATTTCTGAACATTTCCGAACATTTCCGAACATTTCCACCGACTAACGGCTCATGACACTTTCATAGAAACGCGAAGTAAGTCTCAAAAGTCTCTCCACGAGCAGTTCGGCGCCGACACGTTCATTTAAACGGCACTTAACGGCCGCTTGAGCCTCCATTTCCTAATGGGCAGAAAGCTACCGACGGGTGCCGTCTACCTCCTGGACTGTAGCTCTACGTTAGTGCTGCTGTTAGACAATAACATAAATACAGTTTGGGAGTATTTGTGTTTCTTATATCTGCTATTTTTAGTTAAATGTCATGTGTTAGAGTAGATAAGTCACACGAAATGTTAACTGGACATCTGCATTGCGCACATATGTGATATTAGCCTGGCACTGTTCCAGGATGTAGCCCGGACCCGTTGCTTTATAGTTTTATTAGTTAGCTGTGGAGAAATTTAAAGATCCTGGAAAATAAATGATATATAATCAGATTAAGGAAGTAATGGATTACATGTAATTAAGGTGCGTGCTCAGGATATAAAGAAAGGAAACCTAAAAAAATGAAGACGCAGTCAGATTGTAGTTATATTTAGTAAAAATAGGATCAGGATTAGTTTTAAAATGCATCAGTTTTTATTTTCAGACTCATTTCTGAAGACAAAGATCCTTGTTTCCTTTTTCTTTTCTAAGGTTACATTCAAATCAGATCCAGTTTATTTACATAGCACACTGAAAACAACCGGAGTTGCTGTACAAAGTAAACAAACAAGACACATAAGGACAATAAAACAACAACAATATATGAGGCAATAACAAATATGTGCACAAATGACACAGGACAATATAACATTAAAAACTAAAAACCCACAAAGAACAATCAAAAGCCACAGAAAACATCTTACTTCAGTTTTATTTATTATTTATATTTATTTTCTCTTGTCCAATCCAAAAGTAATCCAGTTACTTTAATATTCGGTCGCTGACTCCATACTTTAACGCTACTGTATGTATATTAAATCTCTGGTAGTTCTGTAAACGTTGTTTCTACACTTTGGTCCAGCTTGCGTTGCAACGATGGAGAAACCTCCCTTCAGGCAGAACCAGAGCTGCGGAGACTGGGAGCTGAAAGAGAGGCTGGGCATGGGCGGTTTCGCCCACGTTTACCTCTACCAACATCACGTGAGTTTAGAGCCACACGACACGGACACTGCACACATATTGCACTAAAGATTTACATAGAAACGCCTCGTAAAGTGACCAGCATGATATCCGTGTCGCTCACAAACACCAGCAGCTGTTTTTTTTTGGGTTATATGCTTTTATGTGCTGACGTAATAATGGAATTTCTGTTTGTTTTGTAGGAAACGAATGAAAAACTAGCTGTGAAAATGTGCCGTCTCGAGCTCACGCCGAGGAATAAGGACCGATGGGGCCGAGAAATCCAGATCATGAAAAAGTTTGAATGATTTTTCTACGTTTATGTGTATGATGCATTGATATAAAGACATACAGTGATGTCCCGGTGTAATTATAACGCCTATACTTACTCACATTCATTATAAGTTATTCATTACCTCAAGGGGAACTGCAGACAGTCAGACAGATGAAGTGAGACATCTGAAGTATTGTGCAGTCATTGTAGATGTGGATGACTGTGCAAATTTTGTGCGGGCATCATTAAATAGTAACGACTCCTCTCTCCCTCCCTCCCTCTCTCCCTCCCTCACTCCCTCTCTCCCTCACTCAGGTTAAATCATATCAACGTTGTGACGGCCCGAGATGTTCCCGAGGACATTTTGAGCATAGCCTTAAATGATCTTCCACTGCTGGCCATGGAGTACTGCTCCAGGGGAGACCTGAGGAAGGTGAGCGCTCGTGGACAGAAGGAGGCCTGGAACGTGTCCACGTGAAGACGGATAAACATGAAAAGCTTTTTTTTCCTCTGTTTTCACTTTCCATTCACACTACAGCAGAGTCTTTCACACCCCAAAATGGTGCTTTTTCACCTGATAGCAGTGTGGATAAATGTAAAACCACCCTTTTGGAAAATGAGGACATAAGCCTGACTGTATGTTTATTTTTGTCGGACTTGTAAAATAGAGATTTGGTTGAGTTATTGGTGCAGTGCCTCCAGATCAGGAGAATTATATTATTCAGTGTCATTTCAGCTCACAGCCTCACACTCTTCATAAACGTTTATTAAAGCCTTTAATCATCAGCTGTGATGTTATCAATATAGAAATAAAGTGTGCTTCCTGGCCTCAGAGCTACTTCACCATCATTCAGCCCCAGAGAGTGTCGGAGCAGCTATCAGTCAGGCTGCCCTCTGCTTCCTTTGCCTTCCTTTACTTCCATATTAGTTTTGAGACAGTTAGTAAAGTTTCCAACCTCCCATGCTGTTGCTGCATTGCTCTGTGAACACAACAAAGAAAGAAAGAGATTTGACTGACTGACTGGGTCTCCTCGGTTCGTGGCTCGAATCATCAACCTTTATGTGGCAGTTAGGTATTCTTTAGACACTGAAATAAAATGTTGTGCTTTTTTAGTTGTGTGAAACTGAAACAACTGTGAGTTTCGTATGAAAACAAAGTACGTGAGAGCCAACAGTTTTGCGAAGTGTGTGAAGCTGTGTCTGTCTCAGTCCTTTCCAGATGTTGGCTGTGTTTAGGGGGTTCCCGTGTTGCTGAACACTTGTGTGGACATACTTGGATTTCAGAATGACCCGGCTCAGTGTAGATGTAGTCATTTGTCTTAAACACACGCCATACGAGATGCACGCAGTCATAGTGTCGCAGTGCAGCTCGTCGAGTCACCATTCTGTCGTTTCATGTACTCTTTACTGCAGGTGTGATAGAATAAATAAATCATTTGTGTTGGTTACAGATGCTGAGCAAACCTGAAAACTGCTGCGGTTTGAAAGAGAGTGAAGTGCTTTCATTACTCAATGATGTTGGTATGTTAAATGTTTTTCTATGTGGAGCTTGCTCCTTCAGACTTTGTTTGTATTTCAGTGCCTTATCATTCAGTTAAACCGCCTGTTTTCTGCTCCAGGATCTGGTATCCAGTATCTGCACGAAAACAAGATCATACACAGAGACCTTAAACCTGAAAACATAGTGCTGCAGGATATCAACGGAAAGGTAAACTGCCACATTGTGGTTGTGTTCCCGTCCCGTTTGACTGAACGTCTTAAAGAAACTTACGTTCACTTGTTCTTCTACAGCTGGTTCACAAAATCATTGACTTGGGCTACGCTAAAGACCTGGACCAGGGCAGTCTGTGCACCTCCTTCGTTGGCACGCTTCAGTACCTGGTAAACAAGGAATTATTTTTTGATCCTCAGATGCACATAGCTTCATTTAATCTGTGGATCATCCTGATTACCTATTGAAATCCTTCACAAATGATGACATGTAGAAAAGCTAATTAACTGGGTGGTAGTTTAACTCGAAAGCAGGTATAGAATGAAAACTAAAAAATATGATCACTTGCTGTAAATTGTCAAAATAGGGAGAAATGTCATTGTTGATAAGATAGTTGTCCATCAGATGTATCCTGTTGAAATGAACGTCTTCTCTCCAAGGCTCCTGAACTGTTTGAGAACAAGCCATACACTGTTACTGTGGACTACTGGAGCTTTGGCACCATGGTGTTTGAATGCAGCTGCGGTTTCCGTCCGTTCCTGCACAACCTTCAACCTGTGCAGTGGTAAGTGACCTGATTAAACATTATTGCATGTGTGCAGCAGTGATTTATTCATCCAGAAAGTCGTCAGAATGTATCGGATGGAGACTTTGGTTAGCTCTTCAGTCAAAGACTCCAGCAGAGTTTGGGTGCAGGGCGAGACATCGGGGAAAGGTACTGAGTGAGATGAAAGGGACAGGTGCATGCAGGTGTTCTTAGAAGAATGTTATTGTTGTATATACCGGTAAGTCTTTGGCCGCTCACCAGCACAGTCAGCACTTGCAGCAGCAGAGGGTTTGACACACAGCTTATGCAAGATACTTTAATTCTCTCAGCTGTTTGAATGAAAACATTTCCTCCTTCTGAGTCATAACTCTGTGTAATCCGAACACACAGACACACATTTTTAGATTCAGTCGGATGTACACTTTCTGTGTACACTGTAAAGAAAATACAGTACAATCAAGTATCAAAGTAATCTAGTAAGAGTTGCCTGTAAAGAGGAGCTGCTAATAGCTCATTTTGCTTTTAAAGGTCCAGTGTGTAGGATTTATTGGCATCTTGCGGTGTAGTTGCAGATTGCAACTCTGTTGCTTCACCTTCCCCTTGCAAGGGCAAAGGAGAAACTATGGTGGCCACAAAGTGCGCTGACAGCTATATCTGCAGCCAGTGTTTGGTTGGTCCATTCTGGGCTACTGTAGAAACGTGGCGGACTCCGTGGAAGGCGACCAGCGGCGTCTGTAGATAAAAACAGCTCAAACACAATGATTCCTATTTTCAGGTGATTATACACTAATAAAACATACCTATATACATTATATTCCATTTCTGCCTATAGAGTCTCCTAAAGGTTACACACTGGACCTTTAATCCTGCAAATATGTAAACATTTGCCAAATTATAATGTCTAGTCTCAAGTTGTAACCCACAGCTAACTGACTGACTCCATGGCAACGTTTAAGTCCCCCAAATTATTGTAGTTCCAGTTCCAAAACTTAGAGCATGATTATCTCCCACGTAGGACAAAGAATTATACTAAGAGTGACAAAATCCATTAATATGATTTTATCAATTATTTTCATAATGAGTCTCCATTTAGTCTTTTATATGTGTTTCACTTGTGATAGGTGGGTCCGTTATACAGCAGTGGAAAGCATTAGGAGTACATTCACTCCCACACACCTGCAGGATTTCTTCCATTAAGTCAAATGACTGTTGGAAAATGTCACTAAACACAAGAAATGTCAAGAAATCTCTCTTCATCCACATGAGATAGAAAAGAGTTTGACTGCTGAATTTAACACACTGAAGCTGCTCTGTGACTACGGTTACATGCACACTCGCTTTCCACTATTATTCTGAATATTATTCTATTCGGCATTCGATACGGGTCATATAAACAACTTATTCCATTTGGATATTCCTAACTAGGTCTTATTCCAAATGGAGCACCTTCCAATTAAGACATAGCATTCTTTGGACATATTTATACAACACGTGGAATATTCGTCTCATTTGTGACGCAGCCTTCCTGTTAATAGTCAGCACCGTGTGTTGAAAACAAACCGACTAGACAACAGTTTGCAATGCTGGAACAGAGGTTATTCACAAAAGAAAAGCACACTGAATATTGTCTTTTTCTGAATTAGGGCAAAATCTGGAATATTTTGTGCATGTAAATGTTGTCAATGTCAAATGTAGAATATTTGACTCGAATAAGTATGATTAAATATAATTGTTGGCTAAATAACTTCACGTTACTTGTGTTCTAACAGCTTTGAAACAGTTTTGAATTGATATAAGGAAAGAAAGAACATGTTTAACAGCACACTTATAATAAAGGGGACCAGCAGGTGGAGCCAAATCAACAACAAAATTAACTTTCTATCAACTTCTATCACAGTTACTACCTGACTGGTGTGGTGGCAATTTGTTTAATAAAGCATACAGAGTATGATCTTGTCT